TAAAGTTGGGCATTTTAACATGGAGGTCAATGGGGATTGACTCCCTTCTGCAGCCAGCCTCAAGTGGCCACTCGATGAATTGCAGTTTCAGATGTATTGGCTTCAGGCGGGAGACTGGAAGTTTGCTGCTTGGTTTTCACCTGTTTTCACACGCCACACCCCTTTTCCGCCTACCCCAAGTAGGCTACATCTGTAAAGCAACAGTAAATGACCTTTACACAGTAACTCTAACATCTGTCTCTAACTAATAATATTAACTAGGGTCTGGGGGTAATATAATGCAGTAAGGCTGTCAGGCATTCTGTATTGCTGTTTGATATGTTTCTTCTCCAGATCAACTTTTCTCATACAATTTAATCCCAGCTGAGTCAACATGCAGACAAGTAGCCTAAGGTCTTTTCAAATGTGCATATGGCACCTATTTGAGGTAAAGTTAGTAAAGTTTTTGGCATTGTACCGCCACGTTTACATGGTGATGACAGAATAGCATGCATGCAGGTATCTTTAAAGTGAATTAATGATGAATCACCCTCATGAATGAATCATACATTCGGCCTATTGCCCAGTTTTAAGCACGAGCCGTGTGTTGATGAAGATACATGAAACAGAAAATTAGAAGTAGCCTACATGGGAAATATAGCAAATTGTGTATTTGTATGTGTGTATCGTGTTTTCAGGCAGCTCATGGCTTAAGTGGAGCCAAGCTCACCTGTAGGCTATGGATCGCACTCTGCAGTGGTGGGCAGGGTACTGAAATCTTTAGGGAGACCGGGTATGGTTGTTACATGGGGGGCGTTGTGACACCACCAATTACACCAATTGGGGATAAGATAGGAGTCATGTAATCATTTCAGTATTTACCTACTTCCTCCCCGATCACATATGGTGGTTATCATGGCTGAAAACAGTCACATTCAAAATATATAGAGACAAAAATTATTTTGATGAAGACTTGTTGTTTAGTAGGCCTAAATATAATATTGCAGATAAAATTAATTACTTATGTTGGATTAAAATGTAGTTTCTTAGGCAACATGTGATGTTTTTTCCTGTTAATTTCAAACCACTATGCTAATACAGCTAGCTGAACAATTGCTGACAGGGGTGGACTATGTGCAGTAAACAAATGTGGGTAGCCTACTTTGTTTGAGAACGCAAGCTAAAACTTTCAGCAAGTTGTAGGCTAGTTGCTGAAAATAAAATTGCTCTCCCCTACTCAAGTTAATGTAAATATTACTATTTGACAAACCTACTCTAAAAGTATAAGTAACTTTGTGTTTAATATTGTTTACTGTGTGCAGGCCAAAGTCAGAGGTCTTCACGAGTCATTTTATGCAAGTCTAAGTCAAGTCTCAAGTGTCTTGTGTTTAATATAGATGATGCTGAGTCATTAATAACTTAGCAATGACCATCAAACCGATCCAGAAATTAACAGTCAGGTGGGTCATAAGTGCTGCAAACCTGCGTTTTATTTTTTGAGCAGTGTGTTTTTTTAATATTGGATGAACATTTGTTTTTTGAGCAACAGAGCAACCTTTGTTAACTGATAGCCAGTTTTTCTTGTGTCTGATGATACTTAAACTGAACTGTTTTTGAACTGAACTATTTTTTAATTGAACTGAACTGCTTGTGGAATTGAAATGAACTCAACCCTGAGTGGTAATTTGAGTTGTGTTTATTGTTTTGTTGTACACTTTTGTTAATACACGTTGCCTTTGTTGCATTTCATAATGAAGTTGTGGTTTTTATTATTGTTCACTGGTTGCATTCAGCGTGAGGGTCCATAAAAGTGTATATGTACCCTTTGTGATATTTGGTGGGTAAAATATATTTTCTGCGTAAAAACATAAAATATCTTACATGTCAGGAGAGAAACCTGACTGGCACCCCAAAAGAAATCCGTAGTCAAACTGTCACAAGACGAATATCTAAGTAAGAGACGTCCTCTGTCACAGACGAAACCTAAAATACTATGTAGAGAACGCAAGATAATTTAATAATTACATGTATAGCCTAATATGACCGTGTGTTATTGGCGAGATTAAGGGGCAGAGAGAAAAGGAAAATGGACATAAGATCATTTTTCAGTGCACCATAAAGTACAAAAAGTCCCCATATAAAGATGATTTGGAAACATCACAGTCTCCATGCTACACTTATAATAGTAGTAAGGCTTTCCTGTGTACACATATCCTATTCCTATATATAAGTACAATATTAGCTGTATTGTTTGTGACTCTTTCAAAAATTGCCCTGGAAAATTGTTTGTTTGTTTGCTTTTAGATTAAATTTATTAGTATACCATTGTTTTCTATAGATTAAATAGGTTATGCTAAATATGCTGCTAGCCAAAAACATGTTGTTATTCAAATAAGATTGAGATGATTTTGGCTATACTCTGCTTGTATTTAAATCATATTTAAATTACCTGTTTTACCTATTTCAACTGATTTTGAAATAGTCAAATAACCCTAATTCACCAGAACAGATATTCAAATCTCAGATAAACAGACTGCAATATGCAAATCAGTTAAATGAACATTGGATAAATGACAACAGTTAAAGCTGGAGTGCGGGACTTTTACGTTTAAATGAACACCTGTTACATTAAAGACTTGCTAAACCAGTTCACACGATGCTGGTTAGTCTTTAACCACCAGGAACTGTTTTGATGTCTAGTGTCTGTTAGGGATAGTCATCGTCACAATGAGAATACAGGATCAAGAAAATGATCTGTAAAATATTGGACTAGGTTTCACACTTCTGAGCACAATTTAATTGTACTCGTTTGCTTTTGTGGTGAATTTGTTATAAAGCCACTTGAACTGAAATTGAATAGAGATGTCGTTTTCTGGACAGACTCCACAACAGTCCTAACATGCCTCCAGTCAGACTTCTGTCGGTACAGAGTATTTGTCAAAACATGAGTGGCCAAGAACCAGGAGCTGCCCGATGCCCGAGCCTGGAGGTATGTGGATACAGCCAACAACCTAGCCGATGATATCACGGAAGACATTGCTGGAAATGTCCAGTAGCAGCAGGTGGAGTCAGGGCCCTGCCTTCTTGTCTCTTCTGAACTGCGAAAATGTACTGTCTGCTGCTTCACCATGACCGCCCCAACGCCTGTGCCGCCAGACATCCATCAGTTCTCATCTTTCAGATCACTGACAGAAGCTGTTGCACAGACCCGCCATGGGGCGGCGGTGGACCATGCCACTCTTCTCTCTTCAGACTGAGGTTATTGAAGCCTCCATTTTTCTCCACAGGCATGGACTATTTTGGCACCTTTACAGTGAAGGTTGGTCGTTGCTCACGAGAAGAGATGGGGCATTCTGTTAAAGTGCCTGACATCACGTCCTGTGCACTTAGATGTCCTGTCTAGTCTGCACACCAACTCCTTTCTGATGGCTCTCCACTGTTTTATTGCACAAAGAGGCAAACCAGCAGAGCTCCTGTCTGACCAGGGCACTAATTTCAAGGGAGGTGAGAGAGAACTCCAGGAGGCCTTCAAGGCTTTGCACCCTTCCCTTTAGGCTCATTTGGCTAAACATCAATCAAGTTTCAATTTAACCCCCCAAGTGCACCGCACTTCGGAGGTGTCTGTGAGAAAGAATTTAGATCTGTGAAATCTGCACTGTACGCTATCATACAGACTCAGACTGTCCCAGAAGAGGTCCTAAGGACAGTACTGATCAAAGTAGAGGGGATTTTAACTTCCAAACAGCTAGGTTTTGTGTCCACAGACGTAGTGGATACTGCAGTGACCCCTAATGTACTCCTCATGGGGCGGCACAACCCCCCACTACCGCAGGCGATGTTTACAGAGTCGGAGCTCCTGAGTCGCCGCCGCTGGAAATACACTCAGGTGTTGGCTGACCATTTTGGTCCCATTTTCCGACACTACCTCCCAACTCTTCAGACCCGCTCTAAGTGGCATAAGGACCCTGCACAGATGCGACCTAGAACCATAGTCATGGTAGTGGACCCCCAGCAGCTCAGAGCCCAGTGGCCACTAGGACGTATCAGAGGTACTGACATAAGAGTCAGCACCGCAGTGGTCCAAATCAACACCTACACCAGGCCTGTTGCTCGCCTTGTCTCCATGCCTGCTAAACCAGTCACTCATTCTTAGGGATGCAAATTCCGCTACTTGGTTGTTCCAGGAGACTATGTGCGTGCAGACAACCAGTAAGTAAACCTGACATTTGCTATTTAGTTTTACCTCATAAGAATGTTTGTATTGTGTTTGTTTGTATGATAAATTCACCCGATGTACTGCCTCTCGTTTATTGTTGCTGTGTAATGGCGGAGCATAGTAGTTGGCTGAACATTTGTTACTGCTCCTGTTAATGTATTGTATATTAGGGAGGTGTGACCTTGCGAGCCCGGAATATGTAGAACGGCGATTATTTTCTTGTAGTTCGCACACAATGTAAACCATGTTCATTACAGTGCTAATTGATATCTTTATATGGATGCCTACAGCATCCAGTGCTTTCCAGTAATTTGGCCTTAATACTATATAGTATTAGCTGATTTACCACAATGGCTTATTGTTGGATTTACCTATTTGCCTGTTGAGGTTTGAGTAGATATTTATATATGAACATTATTATTATTTCCTCATTTGACTTTGTATCTCCTTTGGATTAAGTCTTGAAGACCAGTTAAGTCATGTCTAGCAGAAATGTGATTTAGTATGGTTGTTAAATTGTATAATTGGCATTAAACTGAATATAGTTGAATATACATATAGATTGGACTAATTATATTTTCATTTATCTCTGTTGTAGAACCACACACTCAAACAAACCTACTCCGTTTCTGTTTCAATAAATTAATAAAAGGAACATCTTGTCTGGACTTCAGACAACAATTATATACAGTCCTTTTCCAGTCAACAAAACAGTGTGACATGTAAAGATTTTGTGTGTAAGCAGTTGTAAGTCATCAGTAGTACTTTACACGGCCTTTACACCCCTGATGCTTTCACTTTCAGAAAGACTCACCCAGTCTCGAGCTGGGCGAGGCAAGTTGTAAAGAAAATACATCGCCTGAGACGCCAGTGTTGCAGAGAAGTAGTTCGTTTGTTTAGCTTATAGTTAAACTTCTCTGGTGAGATAAAGTGGGACAGCTGCTGCTCGCTCGCCTTCAAACACGTAAGTAACTAAAAGCTTCTGTTTAACTTACAGTTTGTGTTTTTATTGTGTTAGACCTACTGATTGTTTACACGTGACTGACCACATTCTTTTAATATCGACGCAGATCAGAAAAAAGCGATTCAAGTTTTTATATTCGGTTCTTTGTCGACATTTATTTGGACAGATGATGCAGTTAGTTGCTGCGCACTTTGTCCACAGAAGAAAGTCTGAGGCTGCTGAGTTTTTATAAAGTGCGCAACAAGGAAATGCAGCTTCAACAGCGATGAGTCCGATTCCTTTAACTATTCAACCGACATATTCAGTAGTTTAAGGCAGCTCGGGTGTTTCTCCAAATGTGTCAGTGTCATAAATACAGCAGTTATTAGGCCTATACAGTTGTTTATCTGGATCAACATAATGTGTTTATGGATCCTGAAACTGTGGCTCTAACACCAAAGCATTTCCTAATTTTTTACTGTACTCAGATATGTTCACTTAATCACATGGCCAACAGACTTCTTATGAATAACAAAAGGTTATAATTGTTATTTTATAATCTGGTGACTTTATGGCGTAAAACAGACAAACGATGTCTGAAAATATCAGAATCAGCCTTAAAAGCGTATAATGTGCGTGTATATAGATGATTAACTTTTAATCTCTAAACTCCCAGAAAAAACTGGATGTCAACAGCGCAGCTATTTGAACCTGAGCATGTAAACAGTGTTTCATCTCCAGGTCAGCTGATGGACGCACCAAGTTTTTCAGCAGGAAAACTGCGTCTTCACTCCTCATCGTTCCTGCACGTGTGGAGAACTTCATGGATCCTGGGACCAGCTGACAGACAACAACACATCTATAGCAGGAACATATCAACAGGTAGGACCTTGTTATTGTAAAACTTTAGCTGCCAAATCAATAAATTCACACACAAACTACATGAAACAAGTCACTCTGATGTTACCAGCAGCTCACAGTATGGACAAGAGAACAGCACATGAACACTAGATTGGTTATAATTTGAAATAAAAACATTTTAACATTATAAACATTTACATTATCAGAGGGGTGAAACTTGCCTTAAAGCTGAACAAACAATTTACAGTCATGATAACATACTAGGTGTTGGTGCTGTCATCTTTAGTGTAGGAATACCAGCTTACTTAACCGTGGAATAATAAAACACACATCGTTGCTTCAACCAGAACGGGGAGCTCGTACTTCTCTCATTTTTATTTCTGCACATGCGCGGTTGTACATCCCTCACAGGGCATTACTATATCAGTGTAAGAACACACTTAAACAACATATCAGTCTATATGTTAACACTAGGCCTATAGACATGGATAACTGAAATACAGCAGTTGGGGTAGTTTAAATAATAATTGACTAAAAAGTAGGCCTACTTTTAAGTGTATATTTCTGATTTTATGCCATTTGAATAAAAATACAGACTTCTAAAACACCAAGATGCTCCTCTGTGGCCTTTAATTAGAATTTTGACTGATCTGTTATTGATACAAACCTTAAAGGAACAACTTATTCATGATGAGGATTCACAAAAATACATTCAGCATTCAGATAATCTTCAACCTGTCCTGTTTTAATACATTTAAATCTTCTTCCTCTAATAACACTGTCTCCTTTCTGACAGGGAGAAGATGATCTGGATCCTTTTGCTTGTCGGCCTGACCTCCTCTATCTGTGGTTAGTAGGGCTGTTAAAATTGATTATCACTATCTTATAATCTGACATTAATTTAGTTGATTAATTGACTTATCGTTTAGTTTATGAAATGTTAAACAAAGTGAGGGAAATCACCCCATCACAACTTCCCAGAGCCCAAAGTGATGTCCTTAAACTGCTGGTTTTGTGTGACCTACAGTTCAAACCAAAACATATTTCATTCACTTTAAAATATTATAAAAATAAACAGCAACTCTGCATGAGAAGCTGGAAGCAGCAAATATTTGACAATTAATTTTCTTTCGATCAACTGTTAATCGACTGGTGGCAGCTCTGGTGGTTATTTTCATGTTTAAGAGTCAGTAACTGTGACTCCTGGTGAACATGATAAAGACACAGATATCTAAAGCGCTGCATTAGTTCAGACTGAACACTCAAGTGACAGAATCGTCTTTACTGCTCAGATACAACAAGCAGAGCCCCTTCTGTGGTATTGAATTTAAATCATTTGCCATAAACAGTCAGTTTCTTGACAGGCTGAAATGAGGTAAAGACTGAGGTCTGACTCTACATAATGTCTCTCCTGCCTCTCTTTGCCCTCTCTCTCATCTACAGGGGCGTTTGTTGTGAAAAGGACTTCGACCTTCTATCAGACAGAGGAGGGCGACAACATCACCATCAGCTGGGACAGTCCCACCAAAGCTGACATGTCTCTCACCAACCTGCTTTGTTTTCTCCAGTCAAAGCCTGTGAAGCGTTTGTATCAAATGGTTAATGGTGTCGAGGTCCCAGAGTCTCAGCATCAGCAGTTTGCAGGACGGGTACAGTGTGACAAAGCCGCCCTCAGAGACGGACGACTCAGACTTCTCTGTCCAGAGTCACGACTGACGACTCTGGAGCTTACTGGTGTGAGTCTGGCTGCTGATTATGACCAGGACCTGAGAAGATGGGTGCTGCAGACCTCTGGTAAGCTGACTCAGCAGGACTCTCAGCAGGACACATGTTGCTTTAGGAAGAGTGTGTGCTGCTGTAGTGCAGGATGGACATGTTTCTGCTGCACAGACAACACAGACGAGAAGCTAATCGCCTCCTGATTTATACCCACAGAACAGTTTGTCTTGAACGTGACCTCTCGTGGAGAGAACAGTGACGTGTTCCTCACCACACCTGAAGGTGGGTCAGCGAGCTGTTACCATGGTTACATGGTAGTGTATCACAGGCCAACTGTTGCCTCATAAATGTGATGCACAAATCTGATTTAAAGGCAAAACATTTCTTTTAGTAGCTACTTTAAAATGTGCAACATAAACCACTGCACCATCTGGTTACTGTGACAATAACATGTTGACAAACACTCAGCATATTTACTGAGATTAATTCACAAGAAGTAATTGGGGGTGGTGACGGGACATGGATAAGATGCCTGCCTTTGGTGTGGGAGACCCGGGTTCAATCCCCCACTGAGACACATCTGACATTTTGTCCCTGAGCAAGACACTTAATCCCTAGTTGCTCCAGAGGTATGCGACCTCTGACATGTATAGAAATTGTAAGTCGCTTTGGATAAAAGCGTGATTTTAGTATATCAACATGAAATGAAGGACAAACAGTGAATGAGTTGAAACTGACTCACTGTTGATTTATTCACTTCTGCTGGTTATTTAAAGGAAAATGTTTTAGAGTTTCACATTTTGAGACATGTAGTGAAAAACAGAGGAAGAAGAAACTTAATTTAACATTTCATGAAGCACAAAATGGTGGATAATTCAATATGAACACACCAATAAATTTCACTTGATCCAAGGAAACTATGGAAAAACACAGTTTGTTTCTTAGTCAGACTGTTCAGCAGGTTTTGGTAAATAAGTAAATAGGGTTTGCTATAACTTCTGTCAGGTGACTGGTAACTGTTTGATTGCCGCTATGTCATCTGATGTGAGACCGATATTTACTTGTTTATTTAGTTTCTCATTGTCTCTGATTTGGTATAAATGTTGTTGATGTGGTGGTCCAACACTGCTGAGTTGATGCTCCTGTTATCAGACATAAACACTGGTTTTCTGTCTTCATGCAGCTGCAAAACACAAACCAGAGGGGCCGGAGAAGGGAGTCAGTTCATATGAGTTAAAAGTTAAAACATTTTTTGGAGCTGTACAGGTCGCAATCTTTCTACTTGGTTCGGCTATCATCGCTGTTTTGTCCGTGTTAAAATGTGGTAAGTTTGCTCTACTGTTGTTTTAAATTCATCTATTTTGTGTTATGTTTGTTTGCACTTACTTTTGTCTCATGTCAGTCTCACAGGTCAAGAACAGGAAATACATTCCCTCATTCAGCTCATGAGAAAGATCAAAACCGAGTTACATGGCATAACATTCTGGTTCCAAACTGTCTGAAGAACAACCCAACAATGTTGGTAATGTTGGTGTTGTTGGAACAATCTCAGACTGCATCAGCATAATTAAACAGCAGCATCACCATAAAAAAACTAAAAAAACCCTACGATCTCACTCATCTGTGTGCTCCTCTTTTAGCCAGGTTACTAATCACACAGACTTGACTGCTGATCATTATTCTCAGTTTACTGTAGTGGTGTGTATTTGTACATATTTTATTGTCATACAGTAACGGTACATTTCTATGTGAGTGTGTTGCCCCTTGAAACTTGAGTCAGACCGTCCGTCACAGTGAGCATCATGTCTCATCATGTGTTAGACTGCGTGTCAGAGTTGTGTCCGATTGATCTGAAACATTTCCACTGCATCACAACTCAGCAGTAACTAAACTGAAACATCAGTGAGAGACAAAAGAGGAGCTACAGCTGGGGCTCTTTAGAAATACAGACTCTGGATCAGATTATTGCTGTGAAGAGAGAGCTGAGTGGAGCATTAAGCATAAACTATTTACCCAGCATGCACCTTGATCCAGGCCTGACCACAAGTCAGTCTGACAGAGACTTAAACCTGACTTCACCAGCAAGAGGTCTTCTGAGAACAGTTCAGGCTCTAAACTGCATCCACAGCAGCGTTTACCAACAGGAACTAACGTGAACAAAGACTCACAGAGTGTGCAGCATGTTTAAGTCTCTGCGTGTTGATTTCACCGCAAACTGAAATAAAATGAAACCAGCAGCAGCCTGGAGGAGAAGACAAACATCCAACATGTGACGTTAGGACTTTGAGTCATGCTGTTTTAATCTGACGTTTATGTGCTGTCAGAAAAGATGTTTTACAATAATTAATAATGGTTACATTTCAGATACATTTTAAGCATCATTCAAGTATAAATTTGCTTTTTGTGTGTATTTTTTTTTTATTTCTCCTTTTATACAAAAGTATTTTATCCTTCTGCAAAGCATTTTTGACTCTTTGAAGTGGCTCAACAATAACTAAACTGAAACATCAATAATAGACATTAGATGGAAACAATGAATCCAGCAATTGTACTTCTTTAAGTATTTATCTGATTTTTGTTAGTATTATTCTTTTGTCTGTCAGCAAACAGAAAGTTTTATTCTTCTGCAAAGCACTTCTATATCTGTGAAGCACTTACTAAACCGGTTTGTAAACATAAAGTTTGACTATTGTTTTCCACTGTGTGAAAATATCCCTTGCTATTTTTATGTAATTTGACTGTAAGAGCATGGAGGGACTGTGTTTTACAGATGTGTAACAGGCTGTATAAACTTATAAGTGTTTTCTGTAAACAGACGTTTTCAGGGACTTTTTCAATGTATTTTCAACATGACATCTGAATGTTTTCATTGACGTGGTGAATTTGTCTAATCCAGTAAAAGCTCTGTATTTTTATAAAGATATAAATTTATCAGTTCTCATGACTTGATCTAAAATAAAGTCCAGCAGGTAATCAGGCAGCGTCTGATTCTGCAAAAACATCAATAATAGATCAATAATAGATGCTTTAGAGGTCGTTCATGTGAGAAGTGATCAAACTGACAAACGAACGTCTTCTGACAGCTAACAGATGTTTTTGATGAAATAAAATCTCCAAATAATGACCTGCTCAAACTGCAGGAGGAGAAGACAAAATTATTATTCAGCTGTTA